GACTATACAAGATCAACTAACAGTGTTGACATACATCGGGCAAGTCATTTATAAACAAAAAGAAAAAATGGTCCCAAAACTGACCCCCGCGGAACTCCCTAGTCAATCAATTCAGTTTCAAACTTTTTTCTACAACCCTCACTAATTAGTTTCTGTCTGTCAAGTAGTATTTCAATACTTCTAACACTGCACTGATACTCTCAGCCCGTTTTCATAGCATTTGTCCACAAGAAATTCTGCAAAACAGTATCGAACGCTTTTTAGAGAACAATTAGAACACTAACAGATCCTGTTATACTGGCCATTGTTTCTCTCATGATATCTACAACCTTCGATACAGAGTCAACTATTGTTTTTTTGTTTAGGTATTCGAATTGGTTTTTGCACATAATAATTGATTAACCTTTTGTTTAAATTTTTTCCTATAATTTTACACAACTCAGATAGCAAGGGTTTTGGTCTGTAGTTTGTGCATTCAGTTTTTTTACTGCTTTGAAAAGTAGCAAAATTGTAGCTTTGTTTTTACTATTTTTGGGGAATCACTATTCCTTAAAGCATCGATTTGTTAGTTGAGTGAAAAGATAATAGGTTGAAGGTTTAGTGTTTTTAAACTATTTTATCACTTAAAATAGTTTAGTGTCTGTTGTTGTTGTTCTGTAACTAGCTTCACATATGAGAGACTAAGACGTCTGATAGAAATATTTATCAGATTTTCGACTACTTAACAAAAAATCAATTAAATCGTTACCATTGAGGTCAGGCGTCATGTTCGTCTTTTTCTCCTTTGATATCATCGATTATTTTAAAAAAGGGTTTGTTTTTGTTTATGATGTTCTCCTTTTTTGTCATGATAAAATTGTTTCGTTTTCGTGGTCGCATGCTTCACTTAATTACGTATTTGTCTGTACCTTTCTTCTCTCTGTTCCGAAGGAAACGTTGTCTTTTGTTTATTATTATTTTTTAGCGCTAATTTTTTTGGCGCTCACTTTTTGGCTCTCAGTCTATTGATAACTTCAAAACTTCTCTAGCAGTCGGGTTCAGTTGTTGGAATTATAGTTAATTGAAATCTGGGCACTTAATGTTTTGTTAAGTTCATTAGTTGGACAATGAAATTTTTTTTTCTCTGACTAAAAATCTGTGACCCATTACTAGTACTAAATATGTTTGAAGTAAAGTATACAATAATAAAATGATCAGATAAACGCGTTTATTTTACAATAAATTGAACTGAAAATTTTGGAAAGAATAGATCAATAGTTTTAGATTTTGTCTGCGGTTGTCTAGTTGCTTGATTTCAATCAATAAGCTGCCAATTTGAATTTAGAAAAAAGTCTTTTAATTTTTTTTTGTGTTGTTGTTTTATCACTCACGTTTATGTTGAAGTTCCCGCACAGTATCATTTTTCGATTCGTGATTTTGAAAACTTCATCAGATGATTATGTAGAAGCACAAAAAGTTGATACATTCCCGAAGTTGGAGTTTTGTAAATAACAATAACCAAAAAACCCATTTATTTGAGTTTAAATGGTGACAAATTGAGCATGGTTTTCCTGATATTAAATTATTTTTTTTGTGGGCAAATTTGAACGAATAGGAAATACAACACCTCCGCCAAGTTTTTCTCATAATGCCCCATCTCGATTTGGTGAAAAATTTCTAAAGTATAGGTCTTTTTAAAAGTGTTTGAGCAATGTGAACTGGTTTGCCTTTTTTGTCTCTGATGAACAACTCTCATTCTGAAAAGTATCAAGATGATATATATTTTTCTACATTCAAGCTCAGGGCAACAATACCTTTTGAATAATATTTTTAAAAATGTGTCAAAAATGCCAGTTAAAAGGTCGAATTTTAACGAAAAAAAAACCAGCGCGAGCACAAATATTTCGTTACTTTCGTTACGAAAGTCGGAACACCAAGCGTACTGAATGTTTTGCAATTCACCCAGCCTGCTGCTACAAACAACAGTCCCTTCTCTTTACTATAACTAAGCCCAGATTATTGTCCCGCTAACAGCAACAGCGGTTAGAGAAGCCTCCGAGCCAGGTCGATTCTGAACCGTAAGTTTCTTTCAATTGTAAGTCAAGGAGTCGATATTTTTATTTGAACAAAAATTATTTAGTTTTCTTAAGTTTTTTTGAAAAGACCAAAATCGATAAAAACAACATAAAACCGTCTAAATAAAACCAAAACTATTAGTTTTTTGCTAAAAGCAGAATATAGGCTTCTCTGTTGTTCATTTAATGTGCATTCAGAACTATATCCATGGTGTTAGGCTGGGGATGGAGGGTATGAAATCGAAGAAAAAACGGCAAAAAATGATTTTTTCCCCCGAAAATGGAAAAGCTACGTATCTACTTATTTTTTGGGCAAACTCTAGCCTTTGTATGGAGGAGTTCTAGTTTTTGCTGCTCGATATTGATTGTGCGTGAGTTGGTAGTTGTTGTGGGGGGGATGAAATCGAAGAAAAAACTGGAAAAACGATGAATTGTTTCCCAAAAAAACCAAAACTGATAGCTCGTATTTAAAATCAACACTGATAGTTTTTTTGTTCAACGCAGAATATAGGCTTCTTTGTTGTTAATTTATTGTGGTTTCGGAAAAATATTTATGGTGTTAGACTGGGGATGGAGGGGATGAAATTGAAGAAACAACTGGAAAAAAGCATGCTACTAAGAGTAGAAAAAAATCAATTTTTTAGACAATATAATCCATTTTTTAGACAATATCGATTTTTTTGGGTCCTTAGAAAATGAATTAAAATGGATTATAATCAATTTTATACGGATTCTGTACTGATACTATTCAGATTTTATACCACAAAAAAATCCATTATCTAGACTTTAAAATCGATTTTTTTTGGGCCCTTAGAACTTAGAAAATGCATTACAATCGATTATAATCGATTTTATACAGATTCTATACAGATTTTGTACCCCAAAAAAATCCATTTTCTAGACTATAAAATTGATTTTTCTGAATTGTATAAAATCTTTATATTATCCATCTTAGTGTCTAATTGGGTTACATACAATCGATTTTTAACGAGAAGAAAATCTGTATAAAAATCTATTATAATCGATTGCAATCTTATTTTTGCCAATGCGGGCTGTGTGAACACAAAACTGAGGCTCCTAACTCAAATAGTGTGAACACAAAACTGAGGCTCATAACTCAAATAGTGAGAACACAAAACTGAGGCTCATAACTCTGTGTTAACTCAAAACTGAGGACACAAAACTGAGGAGACTGTGTGAACACAAAGGACACTGTGCGAACACAAAACAAATAGTGTGAACACGAAACTGAGGCTCATAACTCAAATAGTGTGAACACAAAACTGAGGCTCATAACTTTGGGCGTTCAGTTTTTCGAAAATCGCAACATTGTTTGTTCTGGGCTGTTATTCATTGCGATGAAACATGTAATAGCGAAACTTGTGGAAAATATCAAGCAAAAATTGATCTTAAATAAAACGCCGAAAGCAAAATGAAATTTTAAGAAGAGATGCCAATACTCTAACCACGCGCCCAATCATTTTTGTGACTTTATGGGAATTTTTGGGAGTTACTCGTAGAAATAACCTATTTTCTCTGAATTATAAATTAATAATTGTTTTAGATGGGTTATAATAATGACACAGTTTTGCTCTTTTTGTTTCGACTGTCACCGAAAGACTAATATATGGTTGATTGTACTTTGAATAATTATTTCTGCCGCTTTTTGAATCAAGTGAGGGAAGTTTCGTGCTTCATTTTGTTTTCAAGCCAAATCAATTTTTCCTAAGAAGCCAGTTTAGCGGTACAGTTTTTATTTCATCTGAGCAATGGGTTTGCTTTGAGCTGGAGTTTAACAAGCATGATTAACTAAGCGGAAAACTTGACTAATCTGACGGCCCTTTAAAGTCATTTTTGATTTAAAAATAGATGACCGTTCAAAAATGGCGTTAACTTCGAAAAAATATTCCGAATGTTATGAAATTTTTTCCCACAGTTCAGTGCTATATAAACTACAATTTGATATTTCAAGTGTCTAGTTATGTAATAAAACCCACTAGCTTGCCTCAAACCAATACGAGTATAGAGTTGTAGTAAGTCGCCGCTGAGGTGTTAACATCCATAAATATATCGGGTAGTAGTTGTGGCCAACATGAAAAGTTTAAAGTTTAGTTAACTTTGGGGAAAAAATTGTTGGCAAAATTTTTTTATTAGGTTTTGAGTGTAGGACGTAAACACTATTCTAATGATGCAGAAAATCTTTTGCGATATTTATCTACAAAGTCAAAGAAAAAAACCACCTAAAATTTTTGGTACTTCCTTCAAATGTCAGCGCAAAAAAAAATACTTTTGTTTGTCTAATTCGGGATGTTTAATGCGGAAAAATCTCAATTTTTTACGCGCAGCATAAGCAAGGAACAAATCCAGTTGGAAAAAACCCAAAGTTGTCGGGATATTAATGGCGAAATAATATTAATGTGGTTCCTGCGAATCGCAGAGGCGCTATCAGTTGGCATTAACAGTCCTGTCGAAGATACTCCATTTGTATTATAGGACTAAAGTAAATGGTGGTATACAAGGGGTGTAATTTGTTATCATGAAGTACATTGGGGAAGATTGTCAAAAATTTTTTAAAATTATTTAGAAACTTTTATCAATGTTTGTAACAAAAACTTACTTCAAGTTTCCTAAAGTACGAAAGTAGCAATATTCACGCTTTCTTATGATAAGGGCAGTAGCAGTGTGACAAGAAAAATTAGCTTGAATTCGCTCTTTTTTAGTGTTTTTTTTTCAGTTTCCCTTTTTGCTAAATCTACTCACTACTAAAACCTATTATATAAATTTTACAAAAAAATTTTTGAGAGCAAATTATCAACTGCTTGTAATTTACTTATAATTTTTATAGTTTTTATGTTTTTTATCCTGTCGTGCACTACTTCACAAGTAGATTGAGAAATCTTGGCTTTGCTCTACTTAAATTTGCAATATGCTGTTTAGCTGTTTACGGATCACAGAATTTATTTTAGCAATATATAGCAACTGTTCAGATTAAACCGATGAAAGTTAAAAGTTGTTGCTTGTTTTGAGAAGACTAACTTTTTCAACTGGCATCATAGTAATGGCCCTTAGACGACCTAGCCGCAGATCATCCAGTCCTCCCCCCTCCCCCTTTGCACCCGAGTCAAGGTAGGTTGATTTAGAACGAGAAAACTTTTATTTGAATTTTCCCCCAACTATTTATACTCTATCTTGACAATAAAATAGAGTTGGAATATTTGTAAAAAAATATTAAAAAAAATATTTAAAAATATTTTTGGACTTCATAGCTAAGAAAAGGTTTGCATTAACTCTAAACGCCCTTTGAGGTTATCTATTTAAAAATTGGTTTCTGCGCTGCCAGCAATTTCTTCCGAAAATTTACCAAAATGCTATTCTTGTGAATTTTCCCAAAATTTTGCCGGAAACAACTTCGTTTTTTGAGGCGCAAACTTGTCTGTCAGTTAGTAATCAATTTCGCCAACTTCATTTTTTTTAGTTCATGAAACTTTGAAAGCAGCTTTAATTTTTGGTTTTAATTTTACTTTCAGACCGAATCTAGACCAGACACTTGAGAAATTGAGCCAAACTGAACGAGGCACCAACTCACGAGTTCGCGTACTCCGAGAGCTGTTCTACAAAAGCCGAAACAACGAAGAATTCTGCAACGAGTTGGTCAAAACGGCCGTCATCGAAATTGTCATTTTGGAAACCATAAACACCAACGACCACGAAACCGAACGAAATTGGGCGGCCGGAATATTGGAGAATATTCTAGAATGTTCAAAAAACGGTAGAGATCAGTGTTATAAAAACGGTGGCGTTCGAATTTTGATGAAAAGAATCTACAAAGAGAAGACGAATTCGGAAACTAAACGAAGTTGCGTGGCGGCGCTTGGCCAGGTTATTAAAATTAATAAAGAGGCAAAAGAAAGTTGTGTTAAGTTTGGGGGAGTGAAAATGTTCATGGATCTACTTGAGAATTACGATTCGGCAATCGGAGTCGAGATTGTAAACGCGCTCGGAAATCTGATGCAAGATCTTCCCGACGAAGTCGCCTCGGAAGTCGCCGAGCGCGGCGGTTGCGATCAGTTCATCAAAAGAATAGAGTGCAACATGTATAAGTGTGACAGAGTTTACGGGTTACAAGCGATGGCGAGTATGTTGCCGAAAGTCGAGAAAGCTCGTGACGAATGCATTGAAAAAGAGTTCCAACAAAAGTTGATGGAGTTGATCGAAAACGAAGATGAAGATAATGACGAAATAAAACTTCACGCTTCACATTGCTTGGTTACATTATGCAATCACAGCGGTGAAGTTGTGACGCAATGTAAAGAGAATTACGTGTTGATATTCTTGGACCCCCTGATGATTAGCCCACAATACGAGGGGGACGATTTGGATGAGAAAGTGGGGAAGGTTAAAGAGTTGGTGAAATTGTTGGGAGGGGTGGAAAAACAGATGGCGAAGTTGAAATTGGACCCACCCCCTCTGGGAAAGAAGAAACAACAACAAGCACCTGTAGACGAAGAGGGGGAGGATGAAGTTATTCAATAAAAGAAATCGGAATTTATAATCAAAAAGAAAGTATAGAACAATTTAATAACTATTTCTGTAAATTGCGGTGTTGGGAAATATGATAGAATATGTATGTACATGTAATCATTGAGATCTCCATTTTTTTTAAAACTTTGCGATGGCTTTTACTTTAATTCTTGGTAATCAGCAAAGGATATTTGCTTTTGAAACTACTTCAAAACAACCTATCAGAGTTTTTTCCATATTCGCACCCAACTTCCAAAGGTAATAATAACTTATAATTCAATAATGACCCCTAAATGGGGGTGAGAATTCGGTCTTTGAATGCCTTTAAGATTTTTCATGCAAAAGCAGATACCAGAAATCACCCCCCGGTTCGACCCCCTGCCGACCCAAAGGGTCCCCCTTTGGTACTTTTTAAGAAATCCATTTTTGGCCGACAGACCCTAAAATTTTTCTAAAGGCGCCTTCGGCTCCAATATATACTAACTTTGAGGGGGAGCGCGTGCCCAAAAAAACGTGATTTTTTTGTCAAAATTTTCCAAAAAGAGCCCAAAAATGGCTTTTTTACCTGTTTTTTCAAAATAATAATCTGAATAATAAAAATAATAAAAATAATAAAAATAAATTAAAATATTTGCAGAAATAATAATCAGAATGCCGCGATAATCGTTTTAAAGCTTTTTCATCAGACCCCTGTTTGAGATTTCACTTTTTAGACTATTTTCAACTATTTTCGGTTACTATCCATAATGGGTGTCATGATAGTTAAAATGACATCTTTTGTGCAGTGAAGAATTAATGTTTGAAACTTCATTTGACGTTTCTTTGGTATTAGAAATCCTTCATGTATTTGTGATACAAAGTTACCAGCAAGGAATAGTACGCAACGGAAATTTGTAGGGTAAAAAGGCAGTTTTGATTTTCTGAGGTCTCATAAAAAACTACAAAGACCCTGTTTTAGCCAAAATTTCAGCCCCGCGGGCAAAATTTTGAAAAAACAGGCCAAAAAGGGCGTTTTTACGCAGTTTTTGGAAAATTTTGACCAAAAAAATTGCGTTTCTTCGGCGCGCGCTCCCCCTCAAGATTAGTATATAGTATATATTTTGGAGTTCTCGAAAAGTGAACCACGCGAGTATGAATAGCGAGATTCTCTCTTGAGTTGAGAAAAACAAGCAAAATTCACTCGTTAACATATGTTGAAACCATCCAAAATTCAACAATCCAATGATACGCATCAAAACTAATGCATGTATAACGGAGAATAAACTAATTTTGAATGACGAAAAAACAAAAGCAAGTATTTTTGGTATTAAACCAAGTCTATTTAACGAATTATAAAACCAAAATATCACCTTAGTTTTTTTTCCAGCAAATCTTACAGTCACTTGAAGTCTGAAACCTAACGTCTCTGATATGTGTTCATTAATTTAACTAGAAAAAAAACCATAAATTTAAAGCCCAAAAAACTTTAAGCTGAAAAGTATGTTACAATCAGCTGGTTCTAGAAAACTATTTTAATATAGTATGATTATTAAAATGAGATCAAAAATCAACATTTTTGAAATAATTTTAATTCAATGTTTTTTTGAAGAATTACAGGCTAGAAACTAGCTTACAGATTTTTAATAACTTCAATCACTAACTGATTCTGTTGAAAATTGAAAACAGGATGCAGTAGGGAATTAGGCTGCATTGGTATTGAAAGATTTCTGACGGACATCAAAAACAAAAGATGTTGATTTCTAGGGCAATTTTTATTAGCGCTTTTTAAACTTTTTTTTCGTTCAAATTTCGAATAAAAAAGTAATTTGTTATTGAGAAAAAAAGTTTGAACGATTTTTTTTTCAGACTATTTTACAGTTACTTGAAGTCTGAAACTTAAAGTCTCTGATGTGTGTTCACTAATAATACTTTCAAATGAAAAACCGTAAAATTTAAAGCTCGAAAACCTTTGAGCCGAAAAATATAATACAATCAGCTGTTATTAGATAACTGTTCTTATTCAGTATAATCATGAAACTGAGATCAATAATCAGAAATTTTTGGAACAATTTGAATGCAAGGTTATATTGAACATTTACAGGCTGGAAACTAGCTTACAGGTTTCTTATAAACTTGTTCATTGAAAGTTGAAAAACAGGATTAAGCTGCATTGGTATTGAAGGATGTCTGACGGAAATCAAATATAAAAGATGTTGATTTCGAGGGTAGTTTTTTAGCGCTTATTAACTTCTTTTTTTGTTCAAATTTCGAATAAAAAAGTAATTTGTTATTGTGAAAAAATAGTCTGAACGGTTTTCTTTTCAGACTATTTTATGATTTAAAAAAAATTTATGAACAACTCCTGAAATCTTTGAACAAACTGAACTTTACGCCAAATTTTTCACAGAATATTATAAGACTTTCACCTTTGACTTATATTTTTTAATGTTTTGAAAAGTTGCACTGCATACCATTGTTGGCTGGCAATTTTTTTGAATCAGGGCTCTCAAGTTAATATACAATTTTGCCTTGCACTTTTGATATTTCCGTTTTGCCGTTTTGCCTTGCACTCATGATATTTCAAATAAATTTTTACAAGTTCACTTTCTAGTTCATCGCCATTTCACTGTCTTAAGATCTGTTTTTTTTAGAAACTTTAAACACTGTTCAACAAAAATGTTAAAACTACAGCGCCACTATATAAAAAACTAAAAATAGAGAGTTGCCAAAAAAGAAACAAAGAAATTTAATTTAAAAAAGCAAATAATCTATTTCAGACTTATTTTATATGTAAAGCTTAATATTTCAGACTGAAAGTATTTCTCATGGTCAAAACAGGTTTTAAATTAGGGGCTTGCATTTTTTTTCCGTCTGGTTCAATTGTTTTCTTTTATTGCAAATGATAAAAATTCCGAAATAATAATGATTCCGAAATAAAAATGATTCCGAAATAATAACGAGAGTAATCTGCTACTTTTGAGCAATTTCTCAATGCAAATTTCAATTTTTCAGGATGACCTTTAGACATAACTTTTCGATGAGGTGGTTTCGAAGTTATTTTGAATTTGAATTGATTTGAACATTCAACGTTTCATACGATTACATGAAACGATGAATAAATACAAACCACACAGGGACAAATCACGCGGCGAAGATTCTTCTAGGAGTTGCCATGGATTAAGTTGGAAAGAAGAAGTAAGATGATTTACGGTCACTTGTTACGGTCAAAAAATTACAAATTTTGCTTTATGTATGGAGTTTTAAAGTAATGCAAAACAGAGCCAACCTATTTATTCACAATTTTTATTGAATGAGTTTTGAGTTAGGACCGAGTTGGTTAACTCATAGAGTAATTTCGGATAGGGTACACCGTCTGCTCGTCACGCTATCTTATTTTCGGCCGGATAGATTCGTGCAACTTCTTAGTCTAATACCGATCCTAATCTTACTCTTATACTATCTAGTCTCAGGTTGTTTAACTAGTCTCTGCTAGGCTCAATAGATCTAGGGTATACTGGTTTATTGCGGCTGTTGAAGTGCTCGGGAGAGTCCAACTAATTTCTAAGTTAAATTCAAATCTCTCTGGTGCTGAAATTACAAGTAACTTCAGCACTTACAAATAAGTGGGTTGTTAGTTAGATGGATCATGATTGGTTAATATTAAATACTTTACATTGGTAAAATATCTAATTTATCCAATCATAAAATGTAGTTTAGATCAGGTTCCACCCATCCGGGTTTTACAGAGTTTTTTAGAATAGTTCTTCTGCAATTCGAAGGATGGATGATGGACGTTGGTGTTTGGCGAACATCTTATTTCTTCTGTTTCCTTTTTGTTAAAGAAGTTCCAGGAAGCTGGAGTTAGAGACATAAGACGTTGTGTCTTCTAGTGACAACGACTAAGTCTTTGCAACAAACTCAAATCTGGTTTCAGAATGGTTGGCTATGTCAGGTTTTTCTGTTCTGCGTGGAGAACTTCTTTTGTGTCTGATCTAGTTTGGGAATGGCGTGGAGATTGTGCGTGGAGGGGATGCCTGGTTACTCGGATCTGTACGTATACTTGAACATCGAGGTGGTCATTGGTCTAGTTCAATGAAGTCCTTTTCTGCGAAGTCAAGTCGTATTCTAAATCCTTTGAGTTGTGATTGTGAGTGGCATATCGATTGTGGTTGGTCATTCTCTCTCGAGTGTAGTGGGGTCGTTTTGTCTTTAGATGTTCGTCCTTGGTGTTGTATTCTGATCTATGTATTGCATAATGTAATTTACATTTTATAAAACATTTATTAGTTTAATATTTTTTAATTATGATTTTAGTTAGTTGTTTTCACAAAAGCTTTTTGTTTTAGTTCGGTTATTTTGAAGAGTTACTCACCCTTGAGTAGCTCTTATTAAAAATAGAGGTGTGGTCACAAAGCGTGGATGTAGCGCGGTGGGTTAGGCCGGCTATAGAGCATGCTCAGGACGTCCTTCCTGGTGGGTTAGGCCAGGAGTGGGAGTATGATTTCATGCGGTTTTTGTGAGGGGTCCTGTTATGTGACAACGTTTTATGTTGGGTTTGTTGTGGTTTTTCTTATGTCTTGTTGGTTATGTCCTTTTTCCAAAAAGCAAATTGTTCGTGGTATGGGTTTGTCTTTCGACTTTTTTGTGTTTTATTATTTCTTTCTTAGACTTTATAATAGTCTTCAAAAGAATAAATTATCCAGTTTTAAACTGGGTTAATCCGGTTTGGGTACCGTTGGTTTCCTTTTCTTAGTCATGCTGTTATTCTATGATTTGTGGTATTTAGTAAGCTGCGTTGGTTAGTTTTGTTTAGTATATGATTCCTTTCCAACCGGGTTAAAGGAAGGTTTGAAACATGTTATTATATGTTAGAGTTGTTGAGTGTGAAAACTTGAAACTGAAATTCATTATTTTAAACAATTCTTCGTGGGCGAGCTGTGCGAGTGTGGATAGAATTTCTGTGCGAATAAATGAGAATATCAAAAGGTTAGTACTGCATTTGCATTTTATTAATTTACTGCATAGAATTTGGAAATTTACTGCTAGTTATGGGGGAATTTTAAGTTACAAATTTTCATCATAATTAGATTTACTGCTTTGTGGGGAAAATTTTAGAAATGAATTTATTGCATTGGTATTAAATTTATAAATTTATAAGTGTAAGAGATTAATAGAATTTTTGAAATCTGTTTGATG